TATATTGATTTAGAATCTCTGCTTAGTGCCTTCAGACGCAAGGCACTGCGAGTATTATCACCGTTAATGGGGTGGGGTGGGGGTGGCTGTTTGGCTACTTTTGGGAACACAGGAAAACTGGAGATGATTGAGCCTTCTGGATGCAGTTTGGAGAGAGCCATGTTGAGGTGCAGCAATCCTTTAATCTTTTTTTAAAGTGTAAATTTAACTAAAATAGCTTGTAGTTGAATGCTCCCTGCATGAAGTGCTCCCTGCTCAGAGGCACAGTTAGGAACGTGCAGAGAATGAGCAACGGGATGAGGGGTGAAGAACTTTCTCATGTGTAGGAAGCCCAGGTTTTGTTAGAAGCACTAGAGAATGTACAATAGGGAAGAGGCCTGGAATAGCAAAGACTCATCCTTCCAAGTCTAACTACTGTGGTCCTGCAGGAGTCCCTGAGTAACTTGCCGGTGTCTCTGTGTGAAAGGGTCTGGAAGTACCTGATTGGTTTTTAGGATTAGAAATTTGCTGATTGGATTTACAACCCTTTGCAAGCTGGAAAACTTGAGAGATCAGAGTTTCTGCAGAGAAGCCTCACAAGATGCTGTCAGATGCGACGCAGTTAAAAGACATGGGCGATTTCAGTTTGTCCCTAGTCCCTCGAGTTGTGCTGTAAAGGTCCCTTGGGTCAGGTTTTGCAGAGATTTTGTGTTAGCAGTTTGATTGGCTCTCACAGAAATAGGCAACTTTCTTTCACTTAGAGGTCAGACCATCCCAACCTGCTTCGGAGCAACTTCTGTGACTCCTCCTGAGGGCAAAGTCTATATAGTTTCCTGGGCTCATGTGCTTCACCCTCTGGAGCAGCTTTCATCAAATCCCTCTTCTTTGAGAGCAGCCACCTGTCTCGCAAGCCCATGCAGGTTAAATGCTGCATTCCATTCTTCCAAACAGGGGGGTGTATTTGACAAATACCTGTTCAGTGCTACGCCTGGCTGACTAGACCCAAAGGAGAGGTGATGTTGGCTAGTTCCTTTAGCTCACCTTCCATCAGGTTGTTTCAGAGGTGGAATAGAAATTAATTGTTGTTAATTGTATCTGGCTCTAATTGTAATTGCTCAAGGACCAGTGAGACACCTTAGAGACTTTGGGTTCCAGGATTGCAGTCAAAGCTGTGCAGCTTCTTTTAGGAGAAGTTTGAGGTACCTGTTGGTGCTTTTCTCTCAGTAGAGAGGTGGCTGTGAACTGGATGCCTTGTGTTGAGAGTTAGACCCTTGCTCAGTTGAAGAGGGAGAAGACATTTGCTGTTTGCTTTATGCCTTGAGCCCAGGAGCACCTATAAACCAAGACAGTTCTGAGCATAGTCTGCCTGAGCTGGCACGCTCTGTTGGTACACCCTCGGATGAATGTTGTGCGGGTATTGTTCAGCTGGCAATGAGGAGACAGGAGTAGAGAACTTCATTTGAGCAGATGTGCCATGCAGTGGGCAGCCAGCACTGCAGAGCGGTGAAAGCTTGCTGGTGAGTTCTGCTTAATCAAATACCTCTCCCAAGGGCTTCTTCCTCAACTCTCCTGCAAATGCCATGTAAAGCGTGTGGTCGGGAAAGGCCGGGGCATGCAGGCGTTGCCTGGTAAGTGTACCAGTTTTGCCAACTCCAAGCATTTGAAAAATCGTGAGTAGGGCCTCAAAAAATCTTGAGGGTGATTTTAAAATCACGAGACTGAAAAAATCAGAGTTGGGTCAGGTGTTTGAGCCATCAGAGGTCATGTTATCAAGCTTTTCTCCACAACCAGGAGGGCCAGGAACTTAGGGGCTGGGATTGTCACGTAATCACCTGAGTACCAAATAGTCTTTTTAAAAATCCCCAAATAGATTAGTGAGATTCATGATAAATGGCCAGAGCTGTGCACCTCTCGTGATAGTTCTTGGTTAGACGCTCTTTCCTCGGGATTTGAGCTGCCCTGAGTCCTCCTTGTTGCTGACCTGGTGGCCCATGTGGCTTTGCCTTTTGCCTGTGTGGCCTCATTCCCCTTCCCTGGAGCACTCTCTCCTCTTTGCTGTTGTAAATCGTAAGGTGATGGTCGGTTGTGCTGAAATCCTTGGGAGCCGAACAGAAATTTTGCTGTTGTAAACGGTGGATGGATTTTTGCTGTGTCCTTTGTCCTTACTGGGTTCTTGGGGTTCCCTGACTCAAGCTGGATGGTGAGGGCAGGTTTGTGCCCAGAGGAGGAGACCCATGAAGCAGTTTGATTTGTTAGCTGTGTCCTTGGCAGGAAGGAAATGGGTTTGTGATGCTGAAAGAACTGGGCCTGCTGGTTCTGCTACGTGATAAGCACACTCTGTGTTGGGTCTCGTGTCCCTTACATTCGCTCACAGGCTTTAGCAGCTGTAAAAGGGGAGAATCAGAGAACCCACTAGAAAACCCCCTTTCTTAACAAAGGCACAGACGCTCACCCCCACGCCTGTTTCCCCTCTGCCTCTCATCACTTGGGTGGGCTGTTCAAACCTTGGTGAGCAACTCAAGCCTTATCAGGCTGGTTCTGAGGTGGGGCTGGGTACCAGGGTTGTGTGCTCACGTACAACTCTCTGGTTAGTGCCTGGATTCTGATGGCAGCTGGAGAATGCCTTGTGCAGGCCAAACTATGGGCCTTGGTACCCACAGCTGTGGGGTGTCCAGTGCTTTCAGGCGTTGTGGTGCCGTCTCAGCTTGATGGCTTGCGTCGCAGCCTTCCTGGTGTTTCATGAGAACTTGTCTGTGAATTCCTTCAGCTTGACATAAATGCTGCAGTATTTTGAATGCAAAAGCTAACTGGCTGGGGAATGGATTCTAGTGGGACTGTACAGTGAGACCTGGCTGGGCTAGTCTTCTGCCGCTGAGTTACTGAGCCCTGGGTAACTGTGCATCCAGGTGTGCTAGGGAGGGCCTGAGGTGGCTTCCAGCGTAACTGTGGGGATGCAGGCTCCTTCACTGAGCCCCAGAGCGTTAAATACCTGTGATCTGTGCCTCCCGCCTTTCTATAGCTTCCCCAGCCAATGAGATGTGGAGGGGCAGATGTAACTGCTCACACTTCCTGACAGCAGACATGACGCTCTTGGAAAGAGAGGGCCTGATGTAGGTGCTGGGGACAGACCCAGGCTGGCCTGTTGTGTAGTGTGATGTGTACTGCAGTTTGTGGCCCTTTGCCCTGCAGACCAGGCTTCTCCAGGCCACGCTGCTCCCTCCTTGTGGGGCACCGAATGGCTGGCAGGAAGTGAAAACAGACACTGCTCCAGGGGAATAACTGAGCCCTCCAGTACCCTGCTGCCAGTCCCCTTGTGGAGCTGTTACTAGGGGCGTGTGGGCAGAGAGATGCAGAGCGATAGACCAAGGAGCGCTCTGCCCTGTGAATGACCCATTGTTCCCTGCGCCAGAGTGGCTCTCGGGCCTGTGTTTTGGGAGCTCTGATAACAGGAGTGATTTCAGCTGCTCCCCTCTCCAGCCCTGCCTGTGAATCGTGCTGCATGGGGGGCTCCCCCACTGCACTCCACCCTCCCTGCACAGCAGGTATCAGACCCCGATGGAGCAGAATCTCTTCATCGGGATCTGGGGATGGCTGCGCTGGGTTCTGGCTCCTGTGGGCTCGTGTGTGGCTGAGAGCATCGCTTTCCCTAATCAGCCACTGGATAGGGTGCTGGATTCTCATTCTCCAGCCTCCATCCCCAGCAGCCCTGAGCCTTCCGGGCATGTGTGATTGCTCCTGCTGGCTGTTCTGAGTGAGGTCCCTGCTTTCGACAGCCTCTCTCCTCTGCTGCTCCCTGCACTCCTATTACTGCTGCCCTGGCCTGCCCTGCCACTGGCCCAGCTGGGTCCCGGCTCTTAGGTGTCTACTCCCTACATTTGGCTGGGTTCATGGTGTGGTGTCCAGGGGCAGGAGCAGGGAGTAAGGGGCTGTTTTGGCAAAGTTTTTTCCCCAGCCCCAGTGTCTTACCGCTATGGCCTTCCCTGTCTTCTGACCCAAGGCCCTGGGTGTCCGCTCCCGGTGGCCTCAGGGTTGGCTTTCTGTGCCTGGGAAGCGAGGGCTGTTATCGCGGTGTGGCAGCCATGGCCACTGAGGGGAGGGGGCACTTTCCTGCCCGCTAATCGAGCTGCGCAGACGGGTTGAGGAAGGATGGCTCCTGGCTCAGGATGTTTGGAGACGAAGCTTATTTATAGCTGCTGCGTGGGGTCTTGGCTGAGAGGAGGCTCTCGCGTGGTGCTGGAGGGGAGGGCTCCTGCCAGGGCTCTGGCTGCAAGTGGCCAGGCCAGGGAAGGGCTGCTGGCTGGGGCAGCTGGGCCGCATGGTACCATGGTGTGAGTGCCGGGGGGATGGCCCTGATATAGGGCTGTGTGTGTTTGGGCCTTACGTAGGTACAGTGGTGAGCGATGGTTGTGCCTGGAAAGCCTTAGTTTGCACTGCAGCACGCAGGGCTCTCGTCCAGCCCTTGACGCCTTGGGCAGGGGGCAGGTGATGAGGTTTCCGTTATTTGCTACTCCCCTGCCTCCACCTCCTTTTGCATCTCGCTGTCACCCTGCGGCTGCAGGAGGAGCTGCTTGTCGAGTCTTCGCTCCTGGCCTGCTGATGCCAGAGAGGGGAGAGCGCCTGTGCTGCAGTAGGGCTGCCATGCTGTACAATGAACACAGCCCAGATGGGCAGAGGGGTCTGCTGGCAGGGACCGGGGGAATGCTTGTTCCGCTCGCTTGGCTGAGTGTACTCCGAATGGCAGAGCTGTCTGCTGCATGGTCTCCCACTCCTGTTGGGAGCTGGGTGCTGTGACTTTCCTAGGTTCAGCCCCGGCATCTGAGCACTGAGATTTCTGTGTGTGGAGCAGTGAGGCTGGAGCAGGCTGCTCGGTGGGGTTAGCACAGACCCCCAGCACAGTGGGGTTACCCAGTGCTGGTCATGTTAACGATGCATTGCAAGCGGGTGGCTGCCGCCTTGCTCGGGATTGGGAGTTGGCGTGGTCATGTGTTTGCTGAAGCCACATGCTGTTTTCTCCCCATCAGGAGAGTGCTAGAGAAGGCGACAGCCGGTACTGTCATCCCTGGAGATGGGCAGCATCAGCCTCTGCTAGGTGCAGCTGCCCCTCAGCCGGAAGAAGGGAGCTCCACTTGGGTGCTGGCTGTGTGTGAGTGCAGCAGGGAGCGGCTGGGACATCAGGATCTCTGCAGAGAGGTAAGTTCCACTATGCATCTGTGCTCTCGCTGCAGCTTCAGTCCCTGCCTGGGAAACTGTGTGGCTAAAAAGGATCCGTTTTTGCTAGTTCTAACAGTGAGTTGCCTTGGCCAGTGCATTTCTCCCGCATCTAGCACCAACTGCTGGACACCCCTTTCTTTACCATGCAGCAGGCACAGCCTGTTCCTCCGGCAAAGGGAGGGTCAGCAGCCTCTGCATGGAGCAAAACCCAGGCCTTCTCCCTTCAGTGCATTTCTGCAAATCCCAGGTGCCAGTGACTTGTGGCAACTAGCTTTGCTAGTAGTTTGAGTGGTGTGGTGATGTAGGATGCCCTCCTGAGAGCTGATCTGCCCAATGCACACCGTGTAAACCTGGCTCTTGGCTGAACGCGCTGGGGCACAGAGTCTGTTCCTCGCGAGGGCAGCAGGCGGCTTGCAGGGGTAGTGAGGTAACGGGGCAGGCAGGTTTATGATCTGCTTCTCGCTGACTTCATGTCCTTCCTGTCTGCAGTTCTGCCAGTTTTTCCAGGCGCTGAGTCCGTGAGGACCAGGTGGGTTTCATAGCGACTTGGAAAGTCACTGCAGATGGTGCTGATGAGATGAGAAACAGCAGCTTCCAGTGCTGCTTAGCATCGCTCTCCGCCACTGAGCAAGGGGACTTTGTCCCGTGGGCTGTGACCTGAGCACAAGCCTGAGCCAGGATCTCTGACACTTGCACTTGCTGTGGCCTTGTTCAGGTCTCTCCACTTCTCTGAGTCAAGCTTCCCATTTATGCAGCAGGGACAGAGGTGCCGCCGAGGGGTGTTTGGCCTCGTCACTCTGTGGAGAGCTACGCGCTGGGGGCTCAGCAGGTCAGTGTGGCAGTGCTGCACACATAGCCCCCAGCAGCCAGCCTGCCCTTGCACTGGATTAGCACCGAGTTAGGTTTTCATATTCAAATAGTTCAGGGGCTCATGTCCCACCGGGCTAGGCAGAGGGTAAGTACCTGGGCAGGAGACAGACAGCAGGTGAAGCTGATCCTAGAGACTCCTCTCTAAGTTGTGCTCTGATATTTCTGGCTCATAGGAGAAGGGATGGGTGAGGATTTGGGCCAAACACCTCTCTGCAGGGTAAAAGGCAGATGTGGGCACAAGGCTGATGAGATCTTCACAGGCACTGAAGCTGCAGCCGTTCTGCCCAGACCTGAGTGCTGGGTATGTACAGCCCAGCCTGGCTTGCAGCCCTTCCCCTGCACGGCAGCCCATCTGCTTTTCCTGCAGCCAGAACCACCCAGGCCAACTTCACTTATGTCTGTGATCAGGATTTCTGTCCTGAACAACGTCACCCAGCTAGAGCCTGGAGGTGATGGTCTCTGAATGGCCTATGCTCTGGGTCCCTGAGCAGATACACCGTGCTAAGGGGTTGTTGGACAGAGCAGGGTGTGACTGACCTGCACAGCACTGCATCCGGAGCGGCTGCTTCTTCTCGCTCCCCCAAAAGACACCGTGAGCCACTTTGCCACTTCCCTGAGACCTAGAGTCTCCCCGGTGGCCGATCTAGGTCAGTGTGGGCAGGTGGAACGTCGAACAGGTTCCTGCCCGGCTGTGGGGCAGGCGGGGCACATCCGGAGGGAGGGTTAGTGTTGCCAATCCCTGAGCCGGTCTGCAGTCGACGCAATGAGCCTTTTAGCTTTCCTGTGTCAAACAGTAGCAGCCTCCGATCGGGGATGTCGCTGGCTCACTGCAGACTGGAGTTGGAAGGCCCCTTGCACTATACCTGCGCTGAGCTCTGTCTCAGCACCTCCCCTCGCCACTGTGGCTCCCCCGGCGGGAGCTCCAGCACACACAAGATGCTGATGGCACCTTGGCTGCTGTATTGCGCAGACCTGCTCCGAGCAGGGTTAGACGACGGGGTCGTGAAAATGCTGCACCGGATCCACTCTGGAGCTCCTGCCGGTGTTGTTTTCAGGAGTGCTGCACCTGTGCTAGCAACCATGGGCAATGCCCAGAGAGAGCTCGGAGAACCGCAAATCACCAGCCTGTTTCCCAAGCAGTGGGAGCAGCCAGTCCGTCTCCTCCTCCTCCCCCCTTGCCGTGCCCGATGTTGGTGGGGAAAATCAGGGAGCCTGGCACTTCCTACAGCAGGTGTTTAAATCTCTGTAGTTTTGGGGGGAAGGCATTTTCAGGAGTGGGTTGAGATGTGGGGAGACCAGTCTTGAGCATTGGGTGAGGAGGGTCAGCCCTAGGAGAACAATTACGACTGTGCCCTCATGTTTGCCGCTGAATGCTTTTCTGTTGGGGTGAGTTGGTACTTTCTGCCTCGGAGCCGGACTGATGGATGTGTTCGTTCTCTCTCTCTCTCTCTCTCTCTCCCCCCTCCCCCGTCCCACCCAGGGCTGAATTAGGACTTGTTGCTCGCAGGGCTGGTGTCCAAAGGGATTGCCTGTGTTCTGCTCCCTGACTGGAGCCTAGCAGGTGCGCTGGGACTCTGCACTCTCTCACCGTGTGTGTGGCACAGGAGGGACTAGGCGGTGCCTGCGATGGGGCGTTTGTGAGGATTCAGGCTCCTGCCATGCACCCAACAGGGACCCCGGATGGTGGCTTTTCTCGGTGTGCTGTGCAGACGCTTTCCCGCAGCCACTGCCGGAACATCAAACAGAAGATCTCCCAGTGGGAGGGGAAGACTAGAGGGGGCTGCAGCGAGGACAGACAGCAGCCGAAGGACTTTGGGGTACAGTACGACCATGGCTGTGAGGCTCTGCCGAAGGCCAAGCCACGGGGCTGTGGGAATGACGGAAAGGCAGGGCTAGCAAACTCAAAGAGCTTGGGCCTGGACTTCAGGGAAAAGGGCAGGAACCATTCTCAGAGCGAGGGTGACAGTGAGAGAGATGGTGATTGCGGTACCTCAGAGATCCTCAGGCCCAAAGTGCGCACATGCTGCCCAATTTCCCGGGTTGAGGAGAATGGAGACTGGCAGGGGGGCCTCCTGGACCCAGAGCAGACGCTGCCACCAGGGAACTTCTACACCTCACGAGGGCTGTGGAAGAACATAGAAGCTGTTCCTCCTGACAAGGTCCTAGCGATGGCATTGGAGCTGAAAAGGAAAAGAGAGAGCTGTGGCTCGACAGAGCGAGAACTACATGCTGGGGGCGTGGAGCCCCTCAATGTGATGGAGAGGAGCTTCAAAAACATTTATTCGGAGGCCGAGGGACAGGAGACAAGGCGTGCTGCCATCCCTCCCCCGAAGCCCCGCAGGACTTTCCGCTATCTGTCAGAAAGGGATCAAACCAGCTGTAGTAGAGAAAAGCCACTGGAAGGCCAGTGTAAGGATTCCCCAGTAGGCTCCTCCCATGAGCCCGAGCAAAGAGAGGCAAACAGGAAAATCAGAGGGAGATCCAAGAGGTAGGTGGCTTAATTCTTATTTGCTCTTGTATACAAAGTCAACCTGTGGAACTCCTTGACTATAACAGGGTTTAAAAGAGAACTAGATAAATTCATGGAGATTAAGTCCATTAATGGCTATTAGCCAGGATGAGTAAGGAATGGTGTCTCTAGCCTCTGTTTGACAGAGGGTGGTGATGGGCGGCAGGAGAGAGAGCACTTGATCATTACCTGTTAGGTTCACTCCCTCTGGGGCACCTGGCATTGGCCGCTGTCGGTAGACAGGATACTGGGCTGGATGGACCTTTGGTCTGACCCAGTATGGCCGTTCTTATGTTCTTATGCACTGAGCACCTGCCTCCTCAGCCTCTGCTGAGCAAGTCCCTGGCCCAAACCAGGTCACTGAGTGAGGCCTCACATGAATTGCACTTTCAGGCGAGACCTTAAAATCCACGGTAGTGATGATAGCTCTGCCATTGGCCCTTCTTTAGAAGAGTAAGGAGATGGGTATGTCCTGGCTAAAATACCCCCTCCCCACCCTGTGCAGAGCAGTGACTCCTGTGCACAGACTGCCTGGTCCCTAGTACTGCCCCAAACAAACCTCCCCCCAGAACCCTGAAAGCCGACTTAGCTGTGGTGTCCAGACCCTTGGCCAAACTGGGGTGCTGCTGCCTGCCCTGCGCTTTGGGATACTTCCCATGGATCATGGGCTAATTGTCTCCTCCAGTGAGGAGCACTGTTGCTACGTGAGTCAGACATGACTCCAGTTGATTGATCTTTTAGTTGCCTGGAGTTTGTGGCCATTAATCTCAGATAACCACCAGGGCAGCAGGCTGGTTCTGATGCGGGTCTGAGAGTTACAGACAAGTAACTGAACATATCATTTGTTAGCTCTCTGCTAGTTCTACAGACGTAGGAGACGCTGAGGTGTAGCCATCTCTGGGTAAGCGGGTAAGCATTGTGTGGAGGGGCAGGGAGCTGGTGCTCTTGAATCCTCCAACGCTTTCTATAGTATTAAATGTGCTGCAAAAACTCTGGGGTTTTTAATGGCCTGTGTCTCCCTTAATGCTTTGATGACTGACCCGGACTGGCTTTGGAACAAAGCCCCATACAATTCATCCTTAGGCTTGGCAAGATTAGATTGATATCAGTAAATGTCAATAAATGTTCATGTCACTAGTAACACACAAGCACTGGAAAGAGTATGGCCATTGATGATAACCGAAATGTACCGAGAAGCAAAGTAGGGAAGTGCTGCTTGAGGACTTGTTAGTTTGATTTCAGGATGTTTGCTTGGTATATTTTGACATCTGATATTGACAGAAGTTATAATGCTTTCTCTTTCTGAATCTCAATGCCTGCTGTCATTAAGTAATTGTCTGCCCCCCCCCATAATTTCCCACAACTATGACCATTTAAATTGGTACAATGTAGAAAAAAGCTTAAAATAAATGTTATCTGTCAAAACTATTAAAAATAAAAACTGAATTCTGCCCACTTGTGCCTGCCCAGGATGCAGATATGCTGTTTGTCAGAGCTAAACCCCCCAAAGGAAGCCAAGTGTGGGAATTAGTCTGCAGAATGACTAGGCATCTTCTAGGAAAGAGAGAGTCCTTTGGGACAGACCCTGTTTACAGTCCATGTGTCCTTAACCAGAACCCCCAATGTCAGTTGCAGCCCCCTGCCCTGCTCCCCAGGTCAGAGTGCTGGGGATTGCACCACCAGGGAGGTAGGAAGGGGGCAGTGCAGGATCCCTTTGTCCAGATAGCAGCACACCGGGTTCCTGCCCTTGGCTGAGCTACCGGGACAGGGCTTCAGCACTGGAGTCTCTGGGCAGATACCAGCTGGGAGTGCAGTTCTCAGGCCCAGATAGTCCAAAGCCACCCGCCTCATTTATCAGGCCTACAAGCTCTTCAGGGGAAACAAACATGATTGGATTGGCTGGAAACCAGTAAGTCACTGGCCTGGCATTGGGGGCCTGGCCAGTTTTTAGGCCTATCCGGGGAGGTGGGGCTGGTGAGTTCAGCGGGCAGGGCCTCGCTTGCTTCTAACCTCTGCGACTTGTGTCCCTCTTGAGAAGAAACCACTAGAAAACGTGCCGGTCTGCTTTCAGGAAATCCTTTGAGTTTGAAGACATCCAGGGCTTCCGCAGTCGGATGGCAGCCACCAGCTCCCAAAAGCTCCATGAGGAGCTGAATAGCAGCTCGGGATCTAGACTCTTCTACACACAGTCAGAGGACAACATCTATGAGGACATTATCTGTACGTGTCTGTGCTCTGACGGGGATGTTAGCAGGGGTGGGGAGGAGCCTGTTCAGGTCTGGAAGTGTTTGGATTTCCCCGTGTCTGATCGCTGGGTGGGATGGAGGCAGGGCTAACCACTAGCAGGCTTTCTTTAGTGGCACCTGGAATAGGACAGAGCGGAGCTGGATTAAGCTTTCCTGTCGATGCCACGCGGTGCTTTATATAAACACTTGTGGAAGGAATTGGCTGCTGTCTGGAGGTGCTGATGGCTGTGGTACTGCAGCAGCAGGTAGCTGAGATTCAGTGGGGTCCCTACGCAGGATCCCCACACCCACAGATACTGGAGTTGGAAGGGCTTTGGGAGCCCTGGGGCCATCTTGCAGCATCGTTGTGGGATAGTCCATCTCCAAACCTACTGCCCTGGCACTCCCAGCAGACAGTATTACAGGCATTAGCACTGCTTGGTTCCATTTCTTGGTGACCCCACGGGGCATTTTAACCCCCCCTCCCCATCCCCCCCCCCCCCACCTTCATGAGTCTCTTACCCGTTGTTCTCTCCAGATCCTGCTAAGGAGAATCTGTATGAAGATATCAAAGTGTTGCCTTTACCATTGTGGAGGGTCCCATCAGCCTGGAAGTTACCACCCCCAAAGAATGCCTTCAAGCCTCCCAAGGTGAGAGTGAGTCCCAGGCTGACTGTTTTCAAGTTCACGGGGCACACCCAGCTTGTCCTGACTCCAGAGGGCCCAGAGCTGGGATCTGAAAAGCATCTGTCACAAGAGAGCTCAGCTACAAAACTGGAATTACTATCTGTGGTCTGGTGGCTGTCAATACCCAGGGCTGGACACTCTCACCTGGGTGCGTAAGGGAAATTTAGTGCATGGAAAAATCAAATATTCCTTGGGCCGAAGCGCCTGGCTCTGAGGTGAGGTGGACAGCTGCAGGGCCTCTAGAAGGAAGGTGAGCTTCCCTCTCTCGTGCCCCTCCTCTCCATGCACCTGGAGTTACACCTTCAACATGTCTTCGGTCACCCCTGGTTTTTATTGTTGAAAATTAGTACATCAGCAATAAACAGCTGTGACTCCGAGGTCACAGGCAGAGGGATCCACAGTGCTTCCTGTTTCCAGCATGAATAACGCGTGTCCCTGCTGAGTCGTTGTCGCACGCTACATCCCACGTTCAGGCCTGGGCAGCTTGAGCTGTTTGTGAATGAAATGCTGGGTCAGCACTGAGTGTGTGGGGCAGGAACAGAGGGGTGGGAGCTGAGATGCTGTGTGTGTTACGGAACTCATTTTCCCTACAAGCTACATATTAATGGTGGGCACTTCCCATCCTCAGAGGACTTTAGACATTAAGAAGGCCTGCGGGGCAGGGCAGATCTGTCCCTTTAACAACTTCACCTTGCCTGTGACAGGCAGCGTTAGATCTCTCCTCCCCATTAGGCCTCTGTGGGAGTCTCCAGGTTCCTTCCCTGCTGAAATACACACTAACCTCCAGGCCCTGTGCCCTCTTCGCAGCTGGAGGGGGCTCAGGAGCGGCTGCGATATATGCGTTTGTATGTTAGAGGGGATTGCTTGTGACACCCTCTGGGGCTGCTTCCCAGGAACTGATTGGGGCACCCTGCTGTGAGCCCCTTTGGAACCAGGCAAACAAGATGTTTAACTCCAAAGCTTCCTTTACACCTTGTGTGTCTTGTCCTATCTGTTTCCAGCTCCCTCCCAAGCCTACCTTCCTCCATCGCAAGACGCTGGAGCTGAAAGCTGCCCGTGCATGCCTGCGTGGGAAGGACACGACCCTGCCCGTTACGCTGACAGAGTGGAAGCTGTTCCGAGCTGGGGAGGCTGCTGGTAGAAAAAGGAACCTTCCCCAGGTGAGACTTGCGCTTTCTGCTCGTGTGTGAATCCCTGCTTCTTGCGTGGCATTTGTGACACTAAGGGCTGGTCTACACTGGGGGGAGGGAGGGATCGATCTAAGATGCGCAACTTCAGCTATGCTACTTGCGTAGCTGAAGTCGAAGTATCTTAGTTCGACTTACCTGGCTGTCCTCACGGCGACAAGTTGACCACCGCAGCTTCCCCGTCGACTCCACTTACTCCTCCTGCCAAGGTGGAGTATGGGCATCGATTTGGGGATCGATGTATCGAGTCTAGATGAGACGCGATAAATCAATCCATCGATTACTACCCACCGATCCGGCGGGTAGTGTAGATGTGGCCTAACACTCCACCTTCTCTAGTACCTTCAAATGCTTTGCAATGGTCCTGGAGCCCCGCAGAACAGGGCTTATATCTGCTCTCCAGGTGGACACAGGGAAGGGATGTGGCTTGCCTAGGATCACGTTAGGCTCTCACAGGTGGTAGTGGGGAATAGAACCCATGAGTCCTGACTCCCAGTCTGGTTTGGTAACCGTCCTCCTGATAGCATGAGTCTGCAAACCCCACGATAGCTGCCCTCTGACGTAGATGAATTGGCGCATTGGCATGTCTGTGCAGAGCAGGAGGGGGGTGTGACTTCCTCCCAGCCTTGGGTCCCAGGGAGCACTGTGGGGTTTGACTGGATCATTGCTTTCCAGGATAGGCATGTGCTGGGCGTTTCGTGCATTAGATCTACTATTTACCTGTGGTAGCGCCCACTGTGTGCTGTGCACTTTCCAGGCATGCAGGGAGGACATTCAGGGCTCTGAGAAACTTAGTGTAGGACCAACAAGTGTAGTGGTCAGGAACCGGAGAATAACCATGGGGAGTTTTTGTACAAGTGAGTGTGACACATGTCCATTCCATTAAACTATCTGTTGATTAGCTCTTTCGGTGTAAGCGCTTACTCTGTGTGGTTGGCAAGGCCTGGAGCGACCCTGGCTTTCTTGTGGGGGCTTGTTGCTCAGTTATTTGGACCGTTGGTCTATTTTCCTGATCTAATGTTAATAAAAGAACCTTGGCAGCTGTTCCATGTTAAAAGCTGCTGAACAACTCGTTAGGAATGAGCCTGTTTCATAACATTTGGGTATCGTTCTTCCTGCCGCTCCCTTCTGCATGAGTAAGGGACACACACCTCTGAGGGCAGAGACATGAAAGGGATTTAATTCCACTGTCTGTTGAAGTCAAACTTTGCTACAATTCCTGCCTCTATCTGCTTGGAATATTTCCAAATGTTTGTATTAATTAAAAACCCCTAAACCCAACTCAGTATCCAGCTCTCCTGATCAATGCTACAATAACAAAACATAGCGCATTGGATGGAGGGAATATCATAGCTACTGTGGTGAGGCACCATTGGTTAGTGTTTTGAGCATGGGACTCCTGCGTTCTAATTCTAGCTGACAAAAACCTGCTGTGTGGCCCTGGGAAAGTCTTAGGCATCAGTTAGTTCCTCTGTAAATTGGTATAATATTTACCTACTTGGCAGAGGACTGTGAGGTGGAGTGAGCTGCCTGCGAAGTCTATAGAAATGTTAATTAGTAATACCCCTTTTTGTGCATACAAAGATTATTATAAACACCCTGCCTGGCAGTAGGGAGCATGGTGTCAAAAACTATGAAAATGCCATGATAGCAAGTAACCTTTTTCTGGGGTGATGTGGAAGGGGAATCCTTCCCAAAAACCCAAACCTGTTCCAAAAATCTGGGAGCAATTTACATGCAGGAAGCATATGTTATTCTCCTGACATTCAAAGGATTCAGCCAGGATTGCAAGAGAGACTCAGAAAAGGCAAGAAAAGAATTTCAGTCCAAAAAGGCCAATTCTTTCTCAAGCAATAAAAGAAACCTTGCTGCTTTGAGTGCTCCCAGCATCTCTCACTGGTGACTGAAATCTGCAAAATTAGGAGCAATAACAGAAAACCTCTAGGTGAGAGTAACAGAGGGAAGGAAGCCTTCAAGTGAAACAGCAGCTCCTCTGAAGGGTGGCTCTTTGCAGTCTCACTGCATTAACAGAACGTGTCTGTCACTGCCCCAAAAAACCAGAAGCAGATCAGAAAACGAGGCAAGCCTGAAATTCGGCCTAATTCACTAAGATGGGGGATGAGGGTTTGAGCTGGAAAACAGGTTCCGTGGGTGACTATTTTTCTTTTTATGCTGGG